CTCTGAGCCAGCCTCTTGCTTTCTCCTGGTTGGCTCCCTCTGTGTCCACAGTGTGTGGAGAGGAGCAGGTGCATCGGACCAGAGGACCGAGAGTCAGCAAGCAATAAGCGGCCACCCTCACTGCTCTTTGACGAGGGAGCCACCCATCTTCCCTGGATGCCCACTCTGCATCCGCTTGTCCTGTGCGGCTCCAGTGTGCACCAGCATCAGGAAAAGGTGTCTTTGGAGTTCACCCAGCACACACTGTGCACAGAAGGCCTCCCCCATCTGGGAAACAGAACTGGATATTTTGCCTCATTCACTTGTACTGTAACAATGTATATAATTTGGTTGGTATTTCACTATTTAATTTTTAAGAAGCCTATTTTACTAGTGTTTTGTATGAAGAAAAATACTGCAGAAGTTAAACTTGTGATGTGTTTTTTCTGAGATGTTTTGTTTTAAGGTAACTACTGAGATACCTCTGGCCCTGTTTTTATATGTCAGATACAGAATTTTTAGCGGTTATTTTTGTAATTTTTAGTAACTTGGAAAAGACCAATTAAGGACATGGAATAAAGGCATAGCCATCAGACTGAAGAGCCACTGGCCTGATGGTTGAAGTACACTTTCATTTGCAAAACATTAAATCATTAAAAAAAATCATCTTGGCAGTTGTGTAATTTGCTACTAGAATAGATGTTTTCTACAGAGGAAAGGACTCCCCACAGGATTCATAGCTGTAGAGTGCACTTAGACAGCTTCCCGGCATCACAGACTAGTGGGACACCCACCCCTAGCCACAGCCCCCACCACTGCCTACCCAGCTGCTGTCTGGCGTTAGACCCAAGGCTGCTGCCTGTACCAGCCCACTGCCACTCCCAGTCAGGACAGGTGGGTCACCAGGAATAAACCACTAGTCCCTCCCTGGTGCTGAAAGCATCTTGAGTGGATACAGATGAGTTCCTCTAGGCTCCTGTCTGTCCTCTCTTCTGTAGGGCCTGGACAAGGTCATAACAGTTTCCTGCCTCCCGGGATAGGGCGGAAGAGGAGCCTACTGAGATGATGCCCTGATACTATAGACTGCTCGGACCTGGAGCGGTGACATATATGTCCCAGTGCAAGAGACAGGGAAAGCAGTGTTACAGCATGTTTGGGGAACTGGCTTGGGGCCACTCCATGCCCAGTGTTCACACTACTGAGTCTTTTTTTGGTGGGAGAAGCCTTGCTATTGAATCCACCACTAGCAGGACAAATGGGGAGCAGATAGTGCCCCTGAGGAGCCCTGGGTTATGATCAAGAAGGCACTGGTGTTGTGGGCAGTCCTTGGGCTTCCCACAGGTCAGGGAACCCTGATTGCTCTTCGAGCAGATGAGGGAGGGGGACTTGATCGGGGGAGGGGGAGGGAAATGGGAAGCAGTTGCGGGGACGAGGCAGAAATCCTTAATAAATAAATATATTTAACAAAAATAAATAAATAAATAAATAAAAAAGCTGAAGCACAGAAAAAAAATAAAAAATAAATAAAAGAAGGCAGTCTTCTCTCCTGTCAGGTTCATCCTTCTAAAACCACCTGAGAACAATCTAGGGGCACAAGAGCAGCAGGAGGGTCAGGTCAAGACATTTGTTCTGAGTCATTTTCAGTTTGTTCCGACAGCAGACTTCACCCAATGACTCAATGTCCCATTCTGGCCATATTGTCTCAAACCTGCTGCCCTCCTGAGTCTCTGTGTCCCTTAAGAGAGATAGATCTAGGTAGTTGGGCAGTGGTGACACACACCTTTAATCCCAGCAATCAGGAGGCAGAGGCAGGCAGATCTCTTGTGAGTTTGAGACCAGCCTAGTTTACAAAGTGAGTTCCAGGACAGCCAGAGCTGTTACACAGAGAAACCCTGTTTTGAAAAAACAGATACACACACACACAAGGGGGGGGGGGGTCTAGGTCATGCTGCTGGCATGAAGTATGTCACAGCCTGGCAGTATAACCTGGAGTTCTGCTTACCCTTCCCCGGCCTAGGCTGGGATCTGTGCACCCCTAACCAAGAATAAGCTACCAACAAGAGCTGAGAAGGAAACCAGAGTGCAAAGGAAGCAAGGGTGCCACGTACAGATGCAAGAGTGCTACTAGCTGTAAAACAAAAGGAAATGGCTGGACAAACGTTCAGACTTTTAATAACTGAAAAGCCACACTGGTGCTGAGACTGACGACCTCCACCATAGATGGCATCCTTTGTTGAGGACACACGGGACCACAAGGACACCTATTCTGTAAAGCATAGGGAGGCATTTTCTTTCTTCTCTGCTCTGGAGAGAATTCAGTATGGATCCTCCAGGTAGGTGTGGTCCTACCTCTCCCAGTCTGGCTCAGAGGTGGTGGAGAAGGGAACCAGGAGTGGGTTCTGCACAGAAAACAATGAAGAATACTGAGTAGCAACAGCAGGCTACAAAGTGTTTGTGGTAGTGGGGGAATCAGAAAGGGCAAAATAACAGGGCTGTAACTTGTTATTCCCAAAGGACTTCTAACCTGAGCTCACCCCAGCCAGACACCTGTGAAGCTCAAGGTAAGCAGTGCTACCTCCTATGTGGACAGAAGTCTCCTTTTCTTCATGACTCGGGGAAATACTTTGACTCTCCTTGTAGGTGAGGCAGCACTGAGCCACCCTGGGCATTTTCAGACCAAAGACACTCAAGGAAAGAGCAGCATTTGGCAGACTCTCAAAAGCTGCTAACAGGCAATTCAACGTGGTTGTAACAGAAACACTGGTGTCGGTATCTTTAACACTGACAGCAAGGGTCTGCAGCTGCTGCATTGGCACCTGCCTTGTGCAGATATTATTATCAGCCCATGGCATGGCGATCTTTGAACTTTCTGGGGCAGTTAGGGGTGGGTGTTGTCCATCCAAGGGATGGACAAACCTTGAGGAGATGTCCCCAGCACCCACTAACACCCCACCTTTAGCTTCCCTATCTAAAGACATGTTTTGTTTTCGTTGTTTCAGTTTAGTTTTTCGAGACAGGATTCCCTGCGTAGCTTTGGAGTCTGTCCTGGAACTCGCTCTGTAGACCAGGCTGGCCTTGAACTCTCAGAGATCTGCCTGCCTCTGTCTTCCGAGTGCTGATAAAGCTGTCAAAGCCAACAAAGCCTTTAAAGAGGTCCAGCCTAAGCAGGGCTGGTATCAGAAGCAGTGGAGCAGAGGTCAGACACAGCTCCATGCCGCCACCTACAGCACTGAAAATGTGTTTTTTTTTTTAATTACATTTTTTATTTACTTAATGTGCGTTTGTATTTGTGTGGGAGTACATGAGGAGGTTAGGGACAACTTTCGGCAGCAAGTTCTTGTCTTTGACCACGTGGGTCCCTTGGAGTGAGTTCAGGTTCCCAGGTTTGATGGCAAGTTAGTGTCTTTACCCATTGATCATTCTGCTGGTCCATGAGTTCTTTCAGAGATCACTCAGATAAAGCCAGGATTCTTGACTTCACAGGGTGAGTCGGTGTGAGACACATGGGTTGATAGAGGTGTTTGGGAAAGGCAGAGCACATCCAAGTGGACGAGCTTCTCAAGAGAAAATGGCATATGCGTCTCTACAGTCATCAATCAGTCCAATTGTGGTGGTTTCTGGAGTTTAACTCAAGGAGTTCCTAGAGAACTTAACAGATCATTCCACAGTCTCTACTGTGTACTGGGCAGTCGCTAGAGGCAATGTATTTTTACTGTGAGATTCCCAGATAATTACAGATTCACATCTGGTCAAGGAGTAAAGCCACACTTGAAGGTTATATACACATAAGCCTGAAGTACAATCATTACTATTTTAATATTGGGGGGCGGGCTGGAGAGATGGCTCAGCAATGGCTGCTCTTCCAGGGGTCCTGAGTTTAATTCCCAGCCCCCACATGGTGGCTCACAACCATCTTTAATGAGATCTGGCGCCCTCTTCTGGCCTGCAGGCATACATGCATACAGAACACTACATAATAAACAGTGTGCCACACCTGGCTTTAAATATATACATTTAATATATATATAACATATATATTATTTGGAATATGCTTATATAAAAGGAATATTTTGTATATGTAGGTAGTCTTCAAAAAAATTTATTAACTGTCCTATAATTCCTAACTCTCAACTGGTGAGAAACTTCAACCATACTGGAATGAGGGTCCTTTCCCCTGCATACCATTAATGTCCCCTTAACTTTCCCTATCTCGTCTCAAACAGTATGTCACTTAATGAGGTCAGACTCTTGGCCACAATTGGCAGTGGAATTCCAACTAACATCCAAGGGCTACCTATCCACATGATCCCAGGAAATTTGCAGTGAACATTAGCGGGTTTCCAGAACTCCCATAGCTTCAGGCGTTCATTATTGTTCTTTCAGAAAGCAGAGGGGTGTACGGACTTGGCTCAAATGGTTTTGTTGTTATTGTTTTTAAATGCCTGCCTTACAAGCATAAGATTACCTGCGTTTGAGCACAACCTAGAAGCTGGAGTTGGTGGCGTATACCTGTAATTCCAGTACTGGGGAGGCAGAGACAGTAGGATCCCTGGAATTTGCTGGATAGCAAGCAAGCCTCACAGAATCTGTGAGCTCCAAGTGAAAGGGCCCCTGTCTCAAAACAATAGGGTGGACAACGCTACTGAGAAGCTCTTCTCAACACCGATGTTTGGTGTCTATGTGCATCCAAACAGCTACACACAAATACGTACTGAATGAGCTGTTATGGACACAGAATCCAGACAGAGGATACCGCAGTTAGACAGCTCAACCAAGATTAGAGACCAGCACCCAGCAGCCCTCACAGCAGGCGGAGAGGCACTTCCCGCAGGGCTGGGGAGAAGCCTCCCTTTATCCTCCGGGAGACGGTGGGGGGCAGGGATCCCCGGTGCACAGCCTCCAGGGGTTGCCCTTCGCCGGGATCGCCTCCTCTTCGCGCCCAGCTCCCAGGGAGGTTGGGTACCTCGCGTAACGGCGTAAACTGAGCGGTGGGCGGGACCTGGCGCCGCCCCGCCTCCGCGCTTCCTCCTCTTTCACTTTCCTTTCCGCGGAAAGCGGGTCCTGCCTCTCGAGCATGGACGACCTGAACTGCGATTCCACCTGGGAGGACGAGAGCGAGGAGGATGGCGAGGACGGCCAGGCGGATGATACGGGCGATGCGGACACGGGCGACGAGGACGACAACGCGGAGGAGACACGGCCAGGCGTGTTCCAGGTGCAGGAGGGCGACAGGGAGGCACCAGGCCGGCAGCGCCTGGCCCTGGCCGCTGTGCCGAGGGGGCGCCGGGCCCAGGCCGTGTCGGACCGAGCGCCGGTGACGTCAGGGCAGCGACTGATGGGGGGGTCGTGCGTGGGTGACGTCAGAGAGCGCCCCAGGTCCCCGTCCTGCGTGGGTGGCCTTTCCTCTGGTTGTCCTTCCTCCGCCCCACGTTTGGCCCCCGACTGCAGACGGACTCCACGGGCTCGGAAGCGACCCCGGCCTAGGAGACCTGGGGCAGGGGGCTGTCTTGTCTGCCTGTAGCTCTGGTAACTTTTGTTGCCATCGAGAGCTTGTCTCCGGGTATACTTTTGTAGCAACCAGCAAATAAGCCGCAGTGTCATTCTGTAAGATGCGCTGTCCTGGTTATAAATAACTGTGGTTTCAGGTTTGGTGGTAAGCCTAGAAAATGAGAGTAAGGACTATGACCATTCTCTCCGCTGCTACAATCTCTGGGTGTCTGCTATTTTGGGAAGGTGGCCCAGAATCTGGAGAGGCAGGCTCTCAGGCTGGCCTTCCAGTCAGGCCAGCGCAGGCCTCTGCCTGACTACAATGGAACGAAGCTGAGGCTGGATAAAGTCCAAAGGCCCTGATAGGAATTGTTTCCCCTTGAGAGCTCTTGGATCATATCTGAAGGGGTAGTCACTAAAAGCCAGGCCCACCAGGCGGTGGTGGCACAAGCCTTTAATCCCAGCAGCAATTGGGAGGCAGAGGCAGGTGGATCTCTGTGAGTTCAAGGCCAGCCTGGTCTACAAGAGGTAGTTCCTGGACAGCTAGGACTGTTACACAGAGAAACCCTGTCTCCAAAAACCAAACAAAACAAAACAGCCAGCCCTAGCTTGGAGGCATAGTGTCTTCCATCACATTAAGCTAGGGAGGAGCATGGGTGTGCAGGGAAGGGCCTCATTCATCCCCATCCATCAGACCCATCCAGAGTCATCTGGGTTTTCTCTTGAGACTGTGGCTGGCAAAGTAGCTGCCCTTGGGGATTCAGCCCAGTGACCATTCATAGCATAATGTGGGGGGAAATACTATAGTACTCAGGGAAGGGGGACACACATAGGACTTAGACCCAAACAAGGTTGGCCAGCAGACCAGAGAGGACATGCAGCTGGGGCCTGGGGACAGAAAAGCACCAGCCATGCACACCTTGGAAGTATGCAGGCTAGCCTGGGCCAGAGCACCCTAAGGAGAAAAGGGGGTCCTGAGAGAGGCAGGAGCTGTAGTTGAGGCTACTCCAGTTCCTCTGTGTTGACATGGTGTGTTTCTCTAGTGTCTGGATCGGCCTTCTCAGAACTCCTGACATGGGTGGGTGGAGACCAGAAGAAAAAAACAGAAATACCCATTCCTCAGAGCTCAATGGTGGTTGCCCCAAGCCCTGCTGCCTTCATCCTGGACACTTTCCAGGTCACTTATTCCTTTTATTCTCTCTCCAGCCCAAGATGACAAGGTACCGAAACTGGCGAGCTGTGCTGGACATGCAAAGGTACCGACGCCACTATCCAGTAAGTATACATGTCCCCTACTCAAGTAGAGCAACCCCTGGCCTGCTGAAACTCCAGCTTTGGGTTCTGGGGTGTGTTCTTCATTGTCAGTGCAGATCCGTGCCCTTCCCCTAGTCATGGGTAATAGAGCATGTTGTCTTACCTGAGCCTCAGAGAGTAGCTTTAAAATGAGGGACCGTGTTCTGACAGAACATGTGACTCAGTGCTCACACGGGCTCCCTGGCTGGTACAGGGGATCACCTCAGTCTCTCCTCTGAACCCATGAGTACTGGCAACCCCTGTGGTATTTTTGAGGTACAGAAGGGGAGTAGGGGGCTGAAGGTAGTGCTGTCCTCTAAACCTACCCTTGCTACCCTTTGGGGTCTGCATGAGTTGGGGGCTCTCAGAGACAGCCTGTTTCTCATGATCCTCACCCATCCTTTCTCTGGCTCTTTAGGATTTGGCAGATCAAGACTGTAATGGCGACATGTCCAACCTGAGTTTCTACAAGAATGAGATCTGCTTCCAGCCAAATGGTACCTCCTCACTCAGCTCCAGCCCTTCTGCCCTTGGCCAGTTGTCCATTCTGTTAGGCTATCTGTGTCCTCAGTCCAATTTTGGGTTTTTTTTTTTTAATTTTCAAAACAGGGTTTCTCTGTAGCTTGGGAGCCTGCCCTGGAACTAGCTCTTGTAGACCAGACTGGCCTCGAACTCACAGAAATCCGCCTGCCTCTGCCTCCTGAGTGTTGGGACTAAAGGCCATCGCCACCACTGCCCAGCCAATTTTGACTTTCAATGTCTCTGCAGTGTCCCCTTGAAGCTGCCAGGGGGATTGGAGCTTAGGTTGAGGGGCCAGAGAGTAAGCTTTCGGGGTTTTAAAATGGTCTTTCTGTGTATCCTAGGCTGGTCTCAAACTCAAGATTTTCCCACCTCAGCCTCCCAAGTGCTGAAATTATAGACCTGAGGTGCCATATCTGTTTTGTAACATAAGTGTTATTTGAAACTAAACGGTATAAGTAAAGTTTTGTGGTGCCTGCTCACACCCATCCATTTACACGGTTACTCTTCTGCTGTGGCATGGAAAAGGCCATGCAGCTACATAGCTGAGGTGTTTGCTGTCTGGCCTTCAAAGACACCTTCCCTAGACCATGTTCCAGGCCCGGTTTCTATGGGGATTTCTTCCTAGCTGATAGTAAATATATATACACACACATACATACATGCATGCCTACATACACACATATATACATGCACACCTATATATGTGCACATATATACGAATACATATACACACACACATACATGCCCACCCCAGAGAGGAAGTAGTGCACCCCTCACATACAGAAGTAGGCCGAGTTACCCAAAACTAGCACATTTTGTATTTGATGAGCTATGGGTAGCTCCGCTGAGTTCTGTGAACCCTAAAGCTATTGAGGGTAGGCAGTGATTTTTGACATAACTCTGTCCCCTGAGCTGTGTCACAGAGGCCTCTGTAGCTGACTTTTCCCCATGGGACTTCCAGGTTCTTTCATTGAGGAAATTCTTCAGAACTGGAAAGACAACTATGAGCTCCTTGAAGAGAATCACTCCTATATCCAGTGGTGAGTGGAACCTAGGGAGAGGGGGGCCTGGTCTCCTGGGTAGGAGCTGTCGTGTGGTGTCTAGGCTTAGGTGTGTCTGAAGCACTCCTTCCTTCCGTGAGCCTGTATGTATGTGACAGGGATCCTAGTCAGTGTCTCTGTTGTTGGGCTCTGTGGGGGCGTTGTGTGCAGGTCTGTGGGCAGCTGGAGCGACCTGCCTTGGTTTCAGCAGGGCTCAAGTGAGGTGCCACACAGCAGCCATTTCCTGGCAAGTACACACCCCTTGCCTGAGGATCGCTCCCATGACTGCTCCCAGTGCCCTCTTGGTATGGCATACACTGTGGCAGTAACTACAGGACTGAGGACGAGAAAGACCAAAATAGGAAGGCATAGGAAAGAAAACGCTGCTCCCCAGAGGTGACAGACACACTGGTCTTGCCCATTTTGACTTTACACTACACAGCCCATGAGCACAAAGGCTGAGGCTCCAAGCGGCCACTTTAACTGCTCTCGGCTGACTGCCATCCTTACCCAGTTCCTTGGATAAGACAGACGCCAGCCAACGCCCCCCAGGGATGAGAGGGAAGCACTGAATTCAGGACAAGGAGTTGCTGCCTGATACTAAAGTACCTGTATCCTCACTGTCTTCACAGGCTGTTTCCTCTGAGGGAACCGGGAGTAAACTGGCACGCCAAGCCCCTCACACTCAAGGAGATTGACGTAAGTTCCCTTCATGGGCCCAGCTGGAGCGTTAGTAGAGCTACCCCCGCCTGCAGAGAGGTCACCGACAAAGGTGCCCCTGTGGCATATAGAAGTCTGCCTGATAGGAATGATGCCGCCTGTTGGAGACATCATAGAAAGGGGGCATCCCTTAGAGGCTGAGTAGTAGAAAGAAGGGCGGGAGGCCCTGGACAGGGACAGCAAGGAATGCCTTGTGCCGGGTGACAACTTTCCTGGAGGTGCCTAATGTCACCTCCTCCTTGGAGGGGCCCGTGGCCTAGTGACCAGTGAGGGTCACCTGAGCCCCCAGGGGGTTGTTTTCTAGGCATTCAAAAGTTCCATGGAGGTCAAAGAGCGTCTTGTCCAGGCCTATGAGCTCATGCTAGGCTTTTATGGGATCCAACTTAAGGACCGGGACACTGGTGCAGTCTGCCGTGCACAGAACTTTGAGTCACGCTTTCGCAACCTGAACAGGTGAGCGCAGGGCCCTGCTGGCATCCTCCCATCCCTGCTGCTCCCCTTTAGTATCTGGGACTGGGCTTCCAGCAGAGAAGCTTAATACAGCCACAGTGTACAGGTCCACCATGTGGCGGGGGTTGTGGGATTATAAGGAACCAGTCCCTTGGCTTGGGAGTTTTCATCCCCTCCATCCATGCAGACATCTCAGTCAGTCTGGTCTGCCATCAGCCCCTTCTAGCTTTCAGCTGTATTTCCCAGACAGGACGTGCAGATCCTGTCCACAGGTCCAGGGTACACAGGCCATTTTCCCAGGTGGGGGCCTGAGAAGACGCTGAAATTTGAGATGAAGCCAACTGGGGATGCCTTGACCAGATCTGTATCTTCAGGGCCAGTTCCATCCAACCTCCTTTAATCCCAACACTCAGGAGGCAGAGGCAGGCGAATCTCTGTGAGTTCAAGGCCAGCCTGGTCTACAAGAGCTAGTTCCAGGATAGGCTCCAAAAATACAGAGAAACCCTGTCTCCAAAACAAAACCTAAAACCTTTTGTCACCCACTTTGACAGACACAGCCACAACAACCTGCGTATTACGCGCATTCTCAAGTCACTGGGTGAGCTGGGCCTAGAGTGCTACCAGGCACCGCTGGTCCGCTTCTTCCTGGAGGAGACACTAGTGGAGAACAAATTACCCAGTGTGCGCCAGAGTGCCCTGGACTACTTCTTGTTTGCTGTGCGCTGCCCGCACCAGCGCCGCGAGCTGGTGCACTTTGCTTGGAAGCACTTCAAGCCACGCTGCCAGTTTGTCTGGGGGCCCCATGACAAGCTGCGGAGATTCAGGCCCCGGCCACTCTCGGCACTAGGGCAGGCAGATAAGGATGAGGGCTCCAGAAACCCCTTCCAAGAGGCTGGCACACGGGGTCGGACCTATGGATCTGGAAAGAACCTGGGTGGGGACAGGGGAACAACTGAGGATCCCTGGCTGCTGAGCACAAAGTCCCAAGATGATGTGGAAACCTTGGATGGGGACCAGAGGGGTGAGGCTGAGTCACTGAGCCCCAAAGAGAGCAAGAAGAGAAAGTTGGAGGGAAACAGGCAGGAGCAGATCCCATGGGAGGCAGATCCTCAAGTAGAGAAAATTGTCCACAACCTTGAGGGGTGTGCCCTGAGCCCTAGCAGCCAGGAACCTAGGGAGGCTGAACAACCCTGTCCTGTTACCCACGGGGCCGAGGTGACTGATGAGGTAAGAAAACGTAGGAAGGTGGAGGAGGGAAACAGGCAGGAGCAGATCCCATGGGAGGCAGATCCTCAGGTAGAGAAAATTGTCCACAACCTGGAGGGGTGTGCCCTGAGCCCTAGCAGCCAGGAACCTAGGGAGGCTGAACAACCCTGTCCTGTTACCCATGGGGCCGAGGTGACTGATGAGGTAAGAAAACGTAGGAAGGTGGAGGAAGGGACTGAGGGTGATGGAGTAGCCAGTAACCATAGCACTGATACGTTATGCCCTGCCCTGCCTCCTACACCTTCAGAGTGTCCTGAGGCCCAAAAAGATGAGAATGGGCCAGAGGACCCAGAAAGCCAGGTGGGGTCAGAGGACCCAGAAAGCCAGGTGGGGACAGAGGACCCAGAAAGCCAGGTGGGGGCAGAGGACCCAGAAAGCCAGGTGGGGGCAGAGGACCCAGAAAGCCAGGTGGGGGCAGAGGACCCAGAAAGCCAGGTGGGGGCAGAGGACCCAGAAAGCCAGGTGGGGACAGAGGACCCAGAAAGCCAGGTGGGGACAGAGGACCCAGAAAGCCAGGTGGGAGTAGAGCAAGGTACCTTTGGGAACTTGGTGGAACACCCTGACACCACAGAAGTCTCAGTGGGTGAGTCAGAGAAGTTGGCAGGGATGGGGACCTCTGCTGAACCCCCAAAGCCTTAGAGGTGCATCTCAGTCCTACTCCACCCGCTGCAGGGGTTGTCTTGAGTCCCAGAGCCCTGTTGTTGGCTCTTCTTGGTGCCCCACAGTGCTGGCCTCTCCCTGGTGGCCACTGAAGCAACCACCAGGGGGACTGAGGCCCTGCCCTCAGGGAAGGCCATGGCCTTCAGAACCCTCCTTACCTCACTGTGTCCTCCCCCACTGCCCTCTGAGCCCCGTGTTTGTGAACAGATCCTAAGGGTCTCGGGGGAGGGGCCTCTTTTCTTAATCTGGTGCCAAGTGAGGCCTTTTCTGAATAAACTCTTTAGACTTTGTTTTTTGGTTGCCTGTGGGTTCTGTGAGTTTTTCCTTTAGACTGCCCTCTTCCCCAAGTTGAGAGCAGCCTGGCCAGTACCACACACATGCTACACAGCTCTTTCTGGGCACAGGCGCTGTAAACAGACCTGTCCTAAAATTGCATACAGCCTTCCTGAATACAGGGTTTGATCAGCAGCACTTTACCTGCGGCTTGTCACCTGGTGCATCGCTCTCTTGGGTGGGCTGGGGACCATGCTGGGTGTCATGCCCATCTCCGCTGATCTTCAGGGGCTGGATGTGGCCTATCAGACCGGCATTCCACTGCAGCTTCTCTCTACTGGGGCTTTCCCCCCTTCTCGCTCCCCGGTGCCTATCTGTCATGTAAGAAGTTTTGTGAACCTTGAGGAGAGGGCCACACACGTCTCGGTGCAAATGAGTTGGCAACCAAGTCCAGTCCTGGGTGTTCTTGGGGAGAGGATCACAGTTCTCCCTGAGTTGAACACAGGAGTCAGGTATCATTTCTTGACAAGGTCACTGTATGATGCTGTGGACAGTGCCCTCCCAAGGTTAGCTCCAGGCTGTGGGCCACCGGACCCTCAGCTGTGGTTTGGCTCATTGGTGAGGTTTCCATCATGAAATGGAAATAGATGTTCTGAGATGGAGAGAAGGCATCTCGTTACTCCAGCTGGGGTCCCTCTTGGAGTGACCAAGCATCTTTGACTAAATGGCTGAGACTCAGGTCAGATGGGGAATATCAACACTTGAAAGTGAGGAGAGGCTCTAGGAGTGGCTGGCCGTTTCGACTCACTTGACTTTCAGGACAATAGTGTGCCAAAACAGGTAGATAAAGCTTCAGCTCTGCACAGCTCCAAGGCAAGCGCTGGGCGGTCTGGGGTGTGAGGGTGCTGAAGACAAACCCTGCTTCAAGTGCCAAAAATGCTCCCCAGACACAACCCAAAGGCCAGCTGTGCCACATGCTGGAAGCTGAGGGGGCAGGAAGACCTAGACTGTGGTGCCCCAGGAACCTGGGTCAGGTAGGAGGTCCTTTACAGGAGCCATGAGATCCTAGTCTCAGACCATGTGGGTGGGGCTTCTGCTGCCTGAGTTGCTCTCTCCCCTTGTCAAGGCTTCCTCAGTTTGTGTTCATTCACAAACTCCCGCTGTAGGGCTGAGAAGGCAGTGGGGTGCCTGATACTGGAAGGAGAATCTCCTGTTACCTCACTTGGCAGGTGAAAGCCACAGCTTCTGTTGGGGCCATTTCTCCCCCCCCCCCCCCCATCTCTCTCCCTCTTTCTCCCTCTCTCCCTCCCTCCCTTGTCTGCTCTGTTCTTGTTCATTTCTGTCACGTGATCCCTGCCTGCAGCTGGAGCTTCTGCCATGTCCTGTAAACCCAGGGCAGTGTTACTCAGGAAATTCAGATTCCCAGAAAAGGACAGGTAGGCTGGGATCCTGCAGCTTTGGCAAACCCCATAGGTGACTTAGATGTCTGAAAGATGAAGGAAGGGGCTGGAGAGTTAGCCCAGCAGTTAAGAGCACTTGCTACTTTTGTAGAGGACTCAGATTCCATCCCCCCATCCACATGGAGGTTCACAAACATCTGTATCTTCCTATCTCTGGACACCAGACACGCGTATAACACACATGCATACACCATACATAATTTAGTAAAATAATTTGAAGTTAGGTTAAAGGACAGACCACCAATGTGGAGACCTGTTTCCAGGCGTGCCCTAACACTGGGTCCTTCTCTCTGCAGCCCTGATCGCCTTGATCTTCAGGCTGCCACTTTCCTCTTCCTTCTTGCTCCCTCCTGGGGAACGGGGTGCAGCATAATTATGAGGCTTTCCAGTGGTGGCTGAAATGAACCGGTCCACCCCTACCCCAACTAGAGCCTGGATCCAAGCTTAAGAGAGAGGGCAGGGATGGCTAGCCAGAGTGCTGGGCTGTCTGCCGTGGTAGGCATCCTCAAGGGAGATTTACCCACCGTGATCCTCTTGGGATTTGGGCAGCTTGGGCGTGCCCTTCGCAGTTCTCAAAAGATGCCCTTTACTGTGGCTCTTCTTCCTGGCCACGATCTGGCAGAGGAGTGGGAGAGAAAAAAGTCTTTCTTGTGCACTGAAAGGTGCGTGTGTGTAACGCGCTGTCCTAGGATAATTTTAACTCAGAGGAGGGCCGGAAAATGTTTCTGGGTGTTTTTTTTTTTCTTTCCAGCCCATGTGGCGCCCCGCCGGCCCAGGTGGGCCCAGTTGAATGGGGGGCTTGTGCGCGGGCAGGGCGGGGCAGGGCGGGGCGCTCGGCCTCGCACCGCCCTCAGCCCCTCTCCCCACCCTGCTGCCTGGCGCCAGCCGCTCAGAGCGCCCGCCAGCCAGCCATGACCGGAGCTCCCGTCCTAGCCCTGCTGCTGTTGGGGCAGCTACTGACGGCCCCCTCCGCGCAGGTGAGCGCGAGCCCACGGGTGCCGACCGGGTCGGGGATAGATAGGGCTGTACGTCGAACGTCATAACCTGAGCCAACTCGAACCTCCTGGGCCAAATCCTGAATTCCGCTGCCGCAGACCTTCGAGGACATCTACGGCAGCCTCCTCGCCGCCTCGCTCCGGCGAGCGAGTTCTAGTGATGCAGCTGAGCCTCCTGGACATCAGAACAAGAAGACCATGAACCTGGACTCCCACTGTCTTCGCCCAACCGGTCAGGCCGCTGCCGGCGCTACCACCTAGCTCAGGACAATGTTGCCTTTGTTCCTGGAGACTCTCTGCGGGCCCGCAGCCACTCAGAGCTAGCGGGGATAAACTGTACCTCCGCGCCAGGCGACTTTGGAGACTTTGGGATTTTCTAGCGGGCAGGAATGGGGGTCAAGGGCCACTGTCACAGGCCCCAGAATTACTTGGTCTGGGGAAGATGAGACGGGGGCGGGGAGGGGGAGGCTGACATGGTGGAAAGGAGGGCTACCTAATAACTTATCTTAATTTCAGAAAGTGGGACCTCGAGGCCCCCCTGGTCCACAAGGGCCTCCTGGGAAGCCCGGCAAGGATGGCATCGATGTGAGTTGGGAGAGGAATGGGGAAGGTACCCTGAGACTCATGGCCTTGTGACCACAAATGCAAGCCCCTCCTCTGAGAGCTAGGGTGATACAGGGTACCCCTAGTGGGGCTAAAAAGACCTCATTTGTCTTTGGAGTAGATCCTGGGGTACCGATAGCAGGGTGGTCCTTGGCTAAAAGTATGGGCCCTAAGGTGCATGTGCTCCCGTATTCTAGGGTTTACTCTGGGGGACCTGGGGTTGTTATTGGGTCTGAGAATAGAGCTAGTCTTGGTTCCAGTTACGGCCCAAACAGTTTGGGGAGACAACTGAAATCGTCTACCCCACATCCTCCCATCATCTGGCATGAAAAGCTTCTCATAGGGTCTTCTCCAGGAAGGGCAGCCTCTGGTCGGTCATTCATGTTATTCTCCTGGGGACGCCATAGAGGGGTATAGGAAGCTTCACCACGAGTGCCCTGAGCTCTTCTCAGTATCCCCAAGAGTCCCAGTATCTAGCTCAGCCAAAATGACCATGGGCTCCCTCACACCCTTCCTGGCCCGCCATGTTGGAGCTGGGTTGCCTAGGACTGTACCCTCTGTACCCTCTGAACCCTCTCTCTTGTAGCTGAGCATCCAGGCTTTAAGGCTCCTACTTAAAATAGTCATAAAGTCTCAGTTGAAAGATTCAGCCACCCTAGTAGGTATCCACAGGTGATGAGGCTCCCGGGACACCTTTTTGGAAAATGAGGGAGGAACTGCCATCTCCCAGAGAGATGGGGTCAAGACGCTTAGCTAGCCACAGCTACTTTATCTCCAAAGCCATTAGGTCAGTGCAGAGGAGTGCTCCCAAGTGACTCTCAAATGCTGTGTGGCTGAGCCTGTTTCTAGCTCATCCCATCCTTGCCTGCCTGCAGAGGAGAGTCCTCCAGATATAAATGAGAGGGTCTGGGGATCCCCTCCCCATAATGTCTCCAGGGGTCCAGCTTCCAGTACTGGATTGGAGAATGGCCCAGCTCTAGGTGGGTTTCCTATTCTCGGGGGTTACATGTGGTCTTTTTCATTTTTGCAGGGAGAAGCTGGCCCCCCAGGTCTGCCTGGCCCTCCAGTAAGTGTCCCTGGTTGGAAAAGTGAGGCTTTTCCAGTTTGCAAGGAAGAGATGAACACAGAAAACAGAAGGGCATTAATGCCCTGCCCTCATTGCTATAAGCCTGTGTTGCCCCAGGAGAGACCTGAGGCCAGAGCCTGGCAGTGGGAAAGGAGGGAGGGAGCATAGGGGACTCTGTGCTGGGTCTGGCTGGAAGCTTTCTTTGTGTCAGTGTCCAGATAAACCAGAGAAAGGAGATAGTACAGCCCCATAGGTCTCTCTCCACTGTGTCTGGGTAGGTTGAAGATTCTGAGCCCATTGGCGTTCCTATATGGTGACCTGCTGGTCTTTTGCTGGGGAGGCTGGATCCATTCGGTGAATATTCAGTAGATGCTATGGGGGTGGGGCAACCTTCCAGGGCCCAGTGGAGCAGCAGAGCGAGGAGCCCATCGTCATGGCTGGGTAGCAGCTGACATGGAGAGGGCTTGACTTCCTTGATGGAGGCTAGAGCTTAGAGCCAGGTACTTCCTGCATAACTCTGTCCTTTCCTCCTACCAGGGGCCCAAAGGGACCTCAGGGAAGCCGGGGAAGCCAGGAGAGGCAGGACTGCCAGGACTGCCTGGTGTGGATGTGAGTGTTACCCCCCTACTGCATCCCTACCTCACCTCACCCCTGTCACAGCCCAAACAAGGGTCAGGCTTTCCTTGCTGTTCTGCAGCTGGGCTTATTCAAGCAGGAAACCTTGTCCTGACAGAAGTTGTGGTAGTTCCCAATAGGGGTCCCTGGCCTTCATCCCAGACGCTGCCAGCTTCTGGCTTGGACAGACCCAGCTTCCAGTGACTGGAAGTCGCATCAGGTCTTACTGATCCAAGAACAAGCACCCATTGTCAGGCTTCCTGCTCCATGCT